CGTCATGAAAGGAATACACCCTCCAAATTTCAAGTTTCTAGGTTCAGGGGTTTGAGCTGGGCGTTGATGAGTGAGTCAGTCAGTCAGGACATCTACATTTATATATATATATAAGATGGTGAAGGGTTTGAAATGAAATAATAAATTTCATCTAATTAACATATGATTATATTTGATGAATGAGCACGGTGGAGGACCCTAATTTCCTTAGAATAAGTATTTTGAAAAATAAATCGTAGCAATCAGTAGAATGTAATCTTAATTTTATATCACTAATTTTAACTCTGATTTATATACATGCATTTAGAATAGAAAAGGGGAAAGAGTACGCTGACACACACGCATATATATCTAAAAATATATATATTTAATCAATCTTAAAATACAAGTAACTTAAATGCTTTACTAATTGTAAGATTACTATTATAACGTATTCATATTCACACTCATAAAGCAAGCCCATCCAGGATAATTTCGTACCTATTCCTCACCTGAAATAAAATAAAGGAAAATACATTAATATTTCTATATACACATATATTCATAAGAATATAAAATAAGATTGAAAATACTTATCCTTATTAATTCAGTCTCAGCTCACTAATACCTCCTATCACCTATAACAATAACGAAATATATTAATTACTGCACTCTTATAAGATAAAACCGTTATATATAATCAATAAATAATTATCCTTACAAAGCTAAGCAAAATGTCAACGACAAGCCTTATGCTAGAAGTGAAAAGACTACGTAATTTTGCTTATCGCCTGGATTTAGACGAAGCTAAGGAAAGAACACGCGGCAAATACTTGAATATATTTAAACAAAAATAATAAAAAATAAAAAAAAGGGGAGAGACTAAAATTATATGAATAAATGTAGTAACGATAGAAATATAGCATTAACTTACTTTTAATTTATCCTTATCATATCCGTCCAACGAAATCACGGTGACAGTATAGACAACCAGCCCTGTAATAAAATAAGAATAACATATATTAACAAATATCCGAATAAGTAACATAAGGAATGAACATTGAAAACAAATATGTACGTCTATATATGTATACAAATACAAATATACACGTGTATATGCCCAATAAAATAAAATAAAAAAAAAAAAGAAAGAATATATATTACTAATCAAATCTATATATATACTCTAAAACTACTTAAATACTTTGCTAGAACAACTCTGATTATAAAGCGACATAAATACTTTACTGGAATCATTTATATGAAAAATATGTATATCATAAATTATAATAACACTGTCTTAACATATTGTCAATGGAACTAATACCTCGATTAGATAAACCCAGCTGCAGCGACACAACTCTTACACTGCCAGGCACACTTTAGAATCCTGTAATAAGAATCACATAAATAATTAATTATCTATAAATATAATCATACTCTATACGACATAACCGTAAATTATACTTACTAATAAAAATTCGGGGACCGAACTTCCCTAAAGAGGGAGATGTCACGTCTGACGGTATAATCACCGCTGTATTCCAGCCGCATAAATTTTTTGATTTCCATCCATATTGCACAGCACCTGAAAACAATATAAGAATAAATAATCACACCTTAACTTAACTGTCATAACAATCACTCAGCTGATGCGAGCACGCGTTCTTAAAGTAGTAGACACAAGCCTAGAGAACATGGCTGCCTATAGGCACCCTTTCAAGCTTAAGCCCCATTTTCATGAATCACACTATAAACTTTTGGACAATTGCTTATTAAAACTCCCCAGAATCACTAAAATTGATCGTAAATGAATATTACAAGCTTTATGAGATCCTTTATGCAATATAAATTCAATTCAACACACGAATAAATACATGTTCCATAAGAATAAACTCAGAAAATTAAAATAAAATATAAATAAATTAATTAAAAGCAGATTATTCATAAGAACATAACCTTTTGTGCTCAAAGAATATTATCACGCTAAAATAATAATTATCTTACTAGCATTTTTTCAAACATGATTGTTATAAACAATTAAATTATATTATTAACAGACCTAGTTAGTGTGATTACTGGAACTATCACAAAAAGTCAAACAACTTTTGGTTATAAATCATTGTTGGATCTCTCAAAATAAACTAATTAACAATAAAATTTATCATAAAATTATTATTAAAGATGATGAATAAAATCACTGCAGACACTCAGCAGAGCATGTCAAGTAACCTCACAAAAACCCCCACATCATATCTCTTCTTAATTCCGAGATATAATTAAAAATTATGGAAATCCATAAAACACAAAAATTTTAAACAACCTAAAATAATGCTCTTAATTATCTGAACAAAACAAAAGAAACCCCATCTTTTTATCTCTTACCGTTCTCGAGTTATAAATTATTAAAATTTCACGTCCGCCATTTTGAATTTCCTACCCTTTAGACTTACAAAGATCAAATCACTTTTACATTAATATTTTAATCTTTTATACATTTTAAGACCGAAAAATTTCATTTCTGAACGAAAATTTTGACACTTAATTATTATGATAAAAATGGAATCTCTCATACTCCACAACACCGGTAACGTTAACGCCGATTTTCTATTTAAATTAATTAAATTAATAAACGAGATTGAAAATTGAACATTCACTCCATGAAAGACGAGGATAGTTTAATACCAGTTCACAGAGAGAAAGACAAGAATAGCCCTATAGACTCTTAATAAATTAAAATAAAAATGAAAACAAATAGACTATAAAACAATTATAGAAATACATGCTCTTATATTTATGGAAAAACACCACATTGAAATAACTATTACCTTATTAATATTTTTCAAAACAATTGTTATAAACAATTAAAATTATAT